TGAACCGCATCAACATGAAATGACCATCTTTAGATTTACATGGTAAATAATTAAAGTAATTTCAGTTAGCCAAAATGAAAAGGGAGTATAGCCTTAATATAAATTGAATCTGGAATTAATCGCCACAATTTTTAAAGCGTCAGTATTGAGTAAATTGTTGAAAAATTAGTAGCTATGGGTCGACCAGGCCGACCAGTCCATGCAGTAAAAGTTGCTTTACGGACTTATATTTTCCAATAATTTTACTTGCAGTATTTTTATACTAATTTAACAGCTTTTTAAATCACTATAGCTGATTTGCCCGACGTTGTACAGGTTAATCATAGTTACTCCAGCCGTTTAATCGCACTTACATCATGATTTTGGCAGTGCCCAGGGACTTTGAAATAAATTTCTATATAATATGACTGCCATGTGATAACTTTTTATTATTCTCTTTGGTATCAAATAGCTTTAAAAAAATCTGGAAGAAGACGTTTTATATACTATTCAATTCATCAACTGTCATGTTTCGTGGGTATGTAAAAATATTTCCACGTTCAAATTTTTTGTTTTACATATAAAAGGATAGCAAGTAAATTAGGTCGAATATATCTCATTTTAGAAAAAAATCTTTTTTATCAAATATTATCATTTAGGGGTGTGCAATTTTCCAGAAATCATTTTAAAGAAGCAAAATTGTGTTATTCTTGGAATTTAAAGGCATATTATAAAAATGCATTTTTTACATAAAGTGGCTCGACCTCAGATTAGGTTAAAAGATAAACATTGTAAAAAAAATCACAAGAATAAGTGAAAATCAAATTTTCAAACGCATTTTGAAATGGGTATAGCAACAAATTTTGCGTGATAGTCGGAGTTCAAAAAAATCAAAGAGTTCAAAAAAAATTTTAAAAATTGGTCGAGCTATGGTTAAAAATAGTTTTTTCTCTATCTGATTCTTTTCCGTACTCAAAAAATGTGTTTTTATGCTTTAAAGTGGTCAATTAGCGATATTTTTAGATTCTGTGATTTGATTTGAATTCGGGAAAACAAACCAGTTTCAAAAATACCCATGTATGTTGCGTGACAACAATAATAAAGATTGTAACAATAACACAAATGATAAACAAACATCTGATTCACCGTACACTAACTCATGTTTGTTTACATTAGATCGGCTGCCTTTGTTATTGTTGTTACGCAAAAACTAGTTCTTCAGCAGTCCAAAAACGTCACAGCAAAGTGTACGGAAAGTGGAAACCCTATCGCCCCTCCTTCTATTCATTCTCCTTGATAATTATCATTATTTTTCTACAAGAGGTTTCGAGATTATAAATATGAGGTTACAGAGAACGAATTGTGTACACTTTAGAAACAGCTGTCTGTATAGTAAATATCATGGGTACTGGAAGTGGAATAGTAAATTTAGACCGCCGCGCCGCAGCCCTCAGTTGTAAACAAAAAAAGAAACAGTAACATTTTCTGGCCAGGATAACATTAAAATAGTTAATAATTGGAGCGTATACAGGGTGGCCTGGTTCGTTGTGATCTTGAACCGAAAAATTCAAGTATATATATATAGAAATGAGTTAAACTTAAAACATCATTAAATATATCAAACAAAACTGTAATTATTACAATAATGATGTTCAGTATTGTAACAATTACAACTGTGATCATTTCCTAGAGAACGATTTTTGCCCCCCCCACTAGGACAGACCCGCAATTGTAAACAAAAATAAATAATAAAATTTGTTCTTTTTCGAGAATATTCGAATATTAGTTAATAATTAAAAAATTATGTTCTTAGATAAAAATGCCAGAGGTTGATCTGAAGGAACTGAAGCGGCCTATAACTGACCCCGACCTAACTGCTGGTCAACTCGAGAAGAAACCGAAGACTGATGTACTCAGTGTGTACCCTGATCTTGTACTGAGTACAGGAGCTAAGATTCCCCAAGTACAGTTTGGAACATATAAAATGAAGAAGGAAGAATGCAAAAAATCAGTACTTTCTGCATTAAGGTTTGTTCTTTGTTCTTATTCGATTATATAGTACACTTTTAAGATATGCGAGATCTTAAGAATAGAGTTTCTGAAAACTAACAAGAAATGTAGCAAAAAAATAAGATTTGTTAAAGATGCATTATAAGTAAAAAAAGCCAGAAATCCGGAAAATATATACCCTTTCCGGCAGCCATACCCATATAAATTATATTATAGTCAATATTTATTATTTTATATATTTACTTTTAACCATTTAAGTTCATGTCTAAATTTAAATAAGTGTAAAGAAACCGTAAATTAGATTTCAAAATTGTATGCACGACTAACAACCATACCTTTTCTACCTTATCTGAGCAACTATTAGGAAGATATCGTCTTTTTCCATTTGAAAAATTGAATTCTAACAATACTCTTTTTAGTTTTTACTGCAAAAATTCACAAGTCATTTTAATAAAGAAACCACAATTAAAAAATTTGCAATTATCATAAAAACAAATTAATCTTCAGCATTTTTCACAAACTAAGATTTAAAGGGGCTGTTGAGAATTGGGCAATACCCCCTTAGAAATATTGGCTCACTTGAAATTACGTCTACAGCACCTTTGAGCTATCTTCAAACAGTGCTTAGGGATAGCCACAACATTTTGCTTCCTGGATCCTGATCTGCAAAAATATGTGGATCCCCGGATACGAATCAAAACACCAACTAAGACCTGCTAAAAATTTACTTCTTGCTCTCAAACATAATTTTTTAACTGTTTGCTAATGAGCGATTATTAAAACTTCATAATCTCTGAATGGTTCATTAAGTTTCGACAAAAAAAGTAAGAAAAAATATGAAGTATTGATCTGTTTAAATACTCAGGAACTCTTAAGGAAATGTTCATGGCTTGAATCCTGATACGGGTTCATTTTTTCTAAACCGGATCAAGGATCCTGAACCGCATCAACATGAAATGGATCCTATAAGCACTGTTTTCAAGTTCATACTTTAGGAAGGGATACAGAGGAGTGGATACGGCCTCCGTATACGACAACGAGAAGGAGGTTGGGGAGGCCATCAAGGAGAGTGGGATAAGTCGCAGCAGCCTCTTTATCCAAACCAAACTCTGGAGAAGTTTCACTGGTATTTTTTTTTCTTGAATGGACTGTAAGCGTAATTTCAAGCGACCCTCCATGCAAAGATGGTAATCCCCGATTTACAACAGTACTCTTATAAGCTGATTCTGATCAAGAATGAATTATATACGTATGTTTTTGTTTCTTTAAACTGTTTATTTTCACTTGTGTTTTCTTTGCAAAAGTGACTCTCGCATTTCTAGCTTATTAGAAACTGTGGAGAAATTCACAGAGTTAAAAACTCTTTTTGGGTTAGAAACGGCGCTGTCTTCCACATTGTTATCAGATCAAGGTTTCAAGCGTATTGGGCATTCGGGTACTGTTATATTTTCATGGAGGGTCATTTCAAATTGCGCTTTGCAGTCTCATTAAAGGGAGTGACCGGCTATGTATGGTAGTTGAACTGAGTATACAGTGTTGTGGAAAACTTCTTTCGGATTCATTTGAGACATATTACACTTTTTAAAGATCTGTAAATCCTGAGTTTGAGCGCAAATTCGACGTTCAAAACTCCTACTTTGGGGGTGGATACGTTTTCAGAATCGGGATTTTTAAATTATTAAATAACGACGACGAAAAATAAAGTAAAATTCATTCAGTAATTTAATTAGATGGTTACGAACATATTTCTCAAAGGAAATTTGTCAATAAATCTATGCTAGAATCAATTATTTTGTTTTCATCATTATATTGAATTTCTTGTTTTCTTTGAATTTATTCGCAGATTTCTTCAAATTCTTCAAATGTCGTCTTTTCAATAATAATTCTAGAAAATCTGCGGAAAATCTTTGAATAATGAGAAACCAGAATTATGAAAAAATGGAAACAAATAATTGAACAATATTACTTATTTTCGATGAAAAGATTAATTTTTATTTTCTCAACCTGTTCCTAAACAACTAATTAGTTTAATGAAGAATTTTTTTACATATTATGTCGTCATTATTAAATAATTTAATAAAAACTGATTCTGAAAACGTATCCACCCCCAAAGTAGGAGTTTTGAACGTCGAATTTGCGCTCAAACTCAGGATTTACAGATCTTTAAAAAGTGTAATATGTCTCAAATGAATCCGAAAGAAGTTTTCCTCAACACTGCATACTCAGATCAACTACCTTACATAGCCTTTAAACAAACTGTTAAATTGTCATTCATAATAATTTTCCTATATGCAGGAGCTGGAAAAAATGGTAAACCATTGTGTGATGCAGAGTTGAGAAAATCCCTGAAAAGACTTGGTACAGCGTATATTGATATATGGCTGATGCACTGGCCAGGACCTGGTCGCCATCTTAATTATCCACCAGTAAGGATGGGGATGGATCGGCCTAAACAGCTGATCCCTGGAAATGAAAAGAAAAGGGTTCCCGAGAATTGGACTCCAGAGTTGAGATTAGAAACCTACAAATACATGAGTAAACATGTGTCTCCGTCTGGGCCTGTCAGAGCGCTTGGCGTATGCAACTTCAGCCTACGACAGATGAAAGATCTTGTCGCTTTTTGCGACTTGGAAAAGATTCCTCGGCCTGCATTGTTACAAAATGAGTGTCATCCGTATTTGATATCTCGAGATATTCGTAATTATTGTAAAGAGGAAAATATTGTATTCCAGGCGTATGCAAGCCTAGGAGCCGGAACTATCAACCTTATGTCAGACCAAACCGTACTTAAGGTTTCCTCCGAACTAGGAGTAACTCCTGCTCAGGTTCTTCTCCGTTGGAGTGTACAACACGGATGCTCAGTTCTTCCCAAAAGTGTAAATGAAAAGAGACAGAAAACCAACCTGGATATCTGGGGGTTTAAGTTGAGCTCGAATCAGATGGATCTTCTGGACGGATTGGATCAAGGTGCTCCGGGTCAGAATACTATGGTGGGCTGGCTCAGGGAGCATGACCCAGACTTTTACTAAGTTTATGTTTAAACTCATACCTTCAGCTTAAAAGTACACAATTAATTTCTTGTTATCTTTGAACCTAGCCAAAACCCTTGAAGTAATTGTTATTACTTTTTAATGTAAGAGCTTTAAAAATTTTTTGTACAATAAATATATTTTTTCTGATAAAGATCGTCACAAAATAATTCCAACTTTCATGTAATACTTCTTTTATACAAACTTTTCATGTTATTTATTTACAATAAAATTTTTACTCTAATTGTTCTTTTTTAAGCAATCGTTATTAAGTCATGTATTTTTAATTTGTACATACACATATATGTACACTAAATATATTTGTACAAGGTTGATTATATTATGAAAACGGAGGACGGCGTCTGGAACCGAATAATTTTTTCAGAATAAGTCTTCTATCTTCAGTAGAGACGTTAATGCCATTGTTAGACCGAGATTCTTCAGGACTGAAAAATAAAATAATTAACTTTATAAAAAACAGTGCTTAGGATCCGGATCCATTGGATCCGCAAGATTTTGCTTCCTGGATCTGGATCCGCAAAAATATGCGCATCCACGGATCCGGATCCAAGGGGTAAAATATTAACCAATAACTGCCAAAAAAAACTTTTTTACTCCTAAACCCCAAATCTGAACTTTTGAAAAAATAGAGATTATAAAAATTTCCTCATTTCTGAATTGTTCATCAAGTTTTAGGATAAAAACAAGCGAAAAAAAATAAAACAAAAAATTTGAAAATTATTTTTTGTTAAAAAAAATTCAGTAAATCTTAAATAAATGGCCTGGATCCGAATCTGCATCAAAATTAAATGGATCCTAAGCACTGATAAAAAAAAATAAAATTATCTGCTTTTCTCTCATTCATCATAGTTAAATTTATTATTACAATATTACACAATAGTACCCTTGAAATATGTTTTTGGTTTGTTATTTCACTGTAGAATTCTAAAGTTTTGCCTACAGTTTCTTTGAAAGTGAACCACTTTCTTTATAAACGCCAAACAAAACAAAAAAACATTGAGGTATGGTTACTGTTGCAGATTGTTATTAGCACTTTGTATTTGAAGGATTATTTAATATAATGATGACAATTTCAACAAATTCTTGGACTAAATATAGTTTACAAACGTTAATTTTGTTTGAAAAGCAATTTTTAGAAAATATAGAAAGCTGTTATTTAAAAAAAAGTTCATCCTGAATATCTTACCTTGAGGACTCTTCCTCAGATTTAGAAGATTCTGTTGCAGAGAAAGGAACAAAGGATGTTCTTCTGGTTGGCTCCGGTGTGACCGGAGGTTGGGTTGAGGTTGTAAAAGTTCGGAAAGGTCGACCTCGAAACTTTAATCTACTTCTTCTTGTCGTTGTTTCTGTTGTTGTTGTAGTAGTTGTTGTTGTGGTTGTAGTTTCCTCTGTTGTGGATTCACCAGCTTCAGTGTTCGTTACCACAACTTCGTTAGATTTGGTTATTAATTCTTCTGTTGTTTCTGGTGTTGACTCAAGTTCAGTTAAATCTTTCAAGATATTTGATTCTGTTGTAGTTGGAACATCTTCTGTAGTAGTAATTTTGGCTTCAATTGTAGTGGTTGTTGGTTCTGTGGAGGTGGTTGGTAATTCTGTTGTGGTTGTTGTGGATTCTGTTGTAGTTGTTGTAGTTTCTGTTAAAGCTTCTGTCACCGTTGTAGGCTCTTCTGTTGTCGACGTGGTTATTGTTGTTGTTGATGTTGTGGTTGTTGTTGTCGTCGTGGTTGTTGTCGTTGTTGATGTAGTAGTTGTCGTCGTAGTTGTTGTCGTTGTTGTTGTCGTTGTTGTGGTTGTAGAAGCAGGCACTGTTGCAGGATAAACAATGAATGGGATAGAAGTGGAAACAGGGACTGTCTCCTGAATTTGAGTTGTGATCTCTACATCTGAGTCTTCTCCAGATATTGATAGATCAGTACTTACCTCGCCCTCTAAAGAGTCCTCTGTTACAGACGCCTTAGAAGTTGTTCTTATTTCTTCAATCTCTAGGACTTGTGTTTTCAGGTTGTCAAGAACTTGTGTTGCAGGAGTAGTTTCAAGAATATCAAGATCATTAGTATTTTCTAAATCCTTTTCGTTTTCATTGTCTTCCAAAGGTTCTATTTCCTCCAATGATATGGGAGCAAAGTTGTTCAGTGGAGGGAAGTCAACAATTGAATTTATGACAACTCTATCCTTACTATTTTCCTTATTCTGTTCTTGCCCAGTTTGGACTTGATCTTGTTCTGTATCAGTAAATCTATCATCTAAAACATAAACATATGAAGGAAGGGAGATCAGGTAATTAAGAGAAATATAAAAAGTATCATTTAAGTTTAACAGGTTTTCAAAGTTTACTGACCTAATAATGATGTTAAAACCTCGTATTCGTAATCCAAAGGTTTAGGTTTTCCTCCTTGATCTTCAAACTCCAGGATATTAAAACCTGCTCCGGCCTGGGATCTATCCTGTTCCAGGGCCAAATTTGGTCCAACTCTAGTAGATATGACCACCTTTGGTTCAGATTCCGTAGTTAACTCCAGGTCAAGTGTGGTCATCTCCTCTATCACAAACTGTGTTGTTGGACCCTGCTCAAGGGATGTGGTCGATTCTAGTAAAGGTTCTGTAGCAGTTTCCTGTTTTTGGATTGTTGTGGTGCCAAGCTCAGGTTGTGAAGTATTTTCAGGTTCAGTTTCCGCTGTTGAATCTAGTGAAGGTAGAGTTGTTACCTCAATTGAGGGCTGTGTTGTTGCTTCTTGTGAGGGTTGTGTAGTTGCTTCTATTGAGGGATTTGTTGTTGCCTCTATGGAGGGTTGTGTTGTTGATTCTAGTGAGGGGAGTGTTGTTACTTCTAGTGAGGGGAGTGTTGTTGCTTCTAGTGAGGGCTGTGTTGTTGCTTCTAGTAATTGCTGTGTTGTTGCTTCTAGAAATTGCTGTGTTGTTGCTTCTAAAAATTGCTTTGTTGTTGCTTCTAGAGAGAGCTGTGTTGTTGCTTCTACTGAGGGTAGTGAAGTTAGTTCCAGCTCATCTTGTGTAATTATCTCAGGATGAAAGTCGAGCTCTAATTGGGGCATTAAATCTGGTTCTTGATAATCAACAGAATCAAGTTCTAATTCAGCAATAGATTCAATCTCGGGTTGCTCAAGGATTGAAACCTCAGGTTTAACAACCTCTTGTTGAGGTAGTGATGGGACCTGCTCAGGGTACTCAGGATACTCTTGATCTGCAATAGTATCTTGAGGTTTAGCAATCTCTACTACTGGAGATCCAACTGAAAACTGATCAGCAGGAGCTGTTTCATAATAATAATAATAATCTCCTGAAGCCTCCTCGTCATAATAGTAGCTTACCCCGGATACTGTATTCTCATTAGAGTTGGGGTTCAGAGCATTGAGAGGAACAGTTCGTCCGACCTCACTCACGGGTTCATCAGCAAGTTCAGAGTAGTTGGGAGTCAAACTTGTTGTGGTACTTGGCTCTGTTGTTGTTGTAGAGGTTGTGGTAGTAGTTGAGGTTGTAGTTGTTGTAGTAGTTGTAGTTGACGTTGTTGTTGATGTTGTTGTTGTTGTTTGTAGTATCACAGCTCCTTCAACACCTTTACAGCAAATATTGTTCTGCAGACCGTTTACTCTGCAATCAATAAACTTGCAGAAGTTTGGAAGAACTCTTTCAGGTTCAGTATTCTCGCTGCCAGTCTCAACTCTGCACAGACAAACAGTATCAAGTTAAAGGGACTATACGCATAATTTCAAGTAACCCTCCATGAAAAGATGGCGATGCCCGATTTACAATGTTTCCCCTTAAAAGGTTTGCCAGATCCAGTATGAATTAGATATGTGTTTGTTGTTCATTCATGGGTTCTCTGCAAGAGTGGCTTTTGCATGTCTTTCTTATAAGAAACAATAGAGAAAGACAGAAATAAACACTTTTTGTGTCAAAAAAAATAAGTTATCTCCCACATTTTTGAGGTTTCAAGGGTACGGTTGTAAATTGAGCATTACTAACTACACTTAAAGATATTCTTAGCTTACAGTCCATTTAATCTCTTAAGGAATTGAGTATTTGCCACAAACTCAAATTTTTGAATCTCTTTATCTTTGTAACATGATGGTGCAAACTTTTGATATTTCAAGCTTAGACTATTTGATCTAACAGAAATCACAGTTTGAAATATTAAAGGTCTACGACATTGGGTTGCAAAAATATAGGGTTTAGGCAATCAGAGTTTGTGACAAAGACTCAATTCCTTTAAAATATGAATAGTTGAGAATTTAAATATCTTGAAAATCTTTAATATTTAAAAAACATTAATCTTTAAGATTTCTTTTGGTTCATTCAACATAATGCATTGTAAAGAATTGAAAAAAGTTACCAATTCATTTTTTAAACCCAACATTAATAAAAGATACTAGTTAAATACAAAATATTGGTTTTATGCTTTTAAAGACTTACCCTTCGTTTGAAGGTTGAGGAGCGAAGTTGATAAATGTCGATGATGGCAGGTTACTCTGAGATGCGAAACTTAAAGGTTTCTGGGGTTTCGGCTGAGAGGAGAAACTAGCTGGGTTTTGGTTGCCTTGTTGAGATTGGAAACTGTTAAAATTGGTCGGGTTTTGGTTTCCTTGTTGAGATTGGAAACTGTTAAAAAGGGGGGGTTAAACCTTCTTAATGATGACAATGCCCGGTTCACAATTGTAACCTTGAAACCTTTATCTTATTAATAATGTGGAAGATATTGTCGTTATTCTAGGTTTAGACGTGTTTCATAATGATAATTCATTTACGTTTTATTTATGTTTTCCTGCAGTAGAAATGCGCAAATCACTTTTGTAAAGAACCCGCAATCGAAATAAATCAGTTTTTAAAATTCTAAACATTGATGTCTCATTCATACTTGATCAGACAAAGCTTTCAAGGGTACCGTTGTGAATCGAGCAATGCTATCTTTGCATGGAGGGTGACTATAAATTACGCTTACATTTTAATCAGTACACGTTGTAAAACTTGGCTTCGTTTCATCAAATATCTCAATAGGGCTAAGGGGGGGGGGGGTATTTTCAATTTTATTTTGCTTTTAGGGGTTTTTTATCATTGTCCCTTTTCTACACAATTGTACTGAAATCCATTGTTGTAGGAACATGTTCTTAACTCTTGTCTGTACTCTAGTACAGGGAACTCTCTGTACTTTCAAACAATAGTTGTAAATCTTTTTCAATAAAACAGACAAAAAACGTTTTCAATTTTTCCTAATTTTGTTTCAATTAAATTGATTTTACTAAATAACTCATTTAATGTGTTACACTGAAAAAAAAAGTTCTGTAACAAAGATCAATCAATCAATCAATCGTGTTTCAGGTTTGATTTGAGGAAGATTATTTCAGGGTTAAAATAAACATGTTTGAATAATGAAGGTGAAGCCTGCTAGCTATACAGTGCAGTATATCTCAGAACAAATCTGGTATTTTGAAGGATACGTCTTGTTTTAAACCCCAGGCCCTTGAAGAATCATTACCACGATATTTTAGCATTTTGTAAGAATTTCGAGTTTTAAAAACGTGTTTGAAAAAGATTTAAAGATGATTTATAATTTTTACATATTATGGACGCAATTCAAGCAATTGATATTATTAAAACCAGAAGAGACCAGTCTGTCATAACCGGGGGGGGGGGGGNGAAAGGCCTGAAATCTCTAGGTATTCTTCCAGGATTAATTGGTCCTCTGTCTAGATCTCTTTTACAAAAACTGATGGCAGCCCAGCACTCCATCCTTTCTCTAAAAAAATATATTACGAGTTTTTTTCTGTAAAGAGTAATGCAGGGCATGCCAATTTCTTAGCGTTTATTAGGGCTACCGGCTACTCATAAAAACACGAGAAATAAAACTTTTAATGTATTCTGATAACTGAATTTTGTTTTCTGCTCGCATATAGTATTTTAAATAACTAATTAAATTATTTTGAATAGAAAGAAAAAAGTTTACAATTGAAATGAACCAAGAATGTGGAAAAAATGACTAAATGAACTCTGTACAGTCGTCTCTGAAGTCTCATTCTTTGTGGGTAACCCTGTATGTAGTAATGCTCAAAAGATTTGTTAGAACCGTCCTCTCGTAGTCCTTCTGGACCACTCATCCTTCTTTCTTTACAAGAACACTGACCTTACTATTCCAGGTTAGTATATATTGAGATAGATAGATAGTCAGGGAAGGTTGCTCTATTTTATTACTTTAAGAATGCACACTATAGCTGTGACACGTATTCAGTTTAAATTGAATTTATTTTCACATATTGTAAAAAAAGGTTTGAACGGTATGCTCAGCAAAGAAATAATTTTAAATGATTTAAAAATCAACAACTTCTGTGAATTTTAAAGTCCATTGTAAATCTATGCATAATGCCCCATCCAATATTGCATGGTCATTTACGGCGATTTACAAGGAAACAACAATTTTTTATTAGATCTTTCAATACTGTTTTTGGAAATCTATCCTTTCATTACTATTCTTAGCTCCCTGTGCAATGAACATCTGTTGAATAATTTAAAGATGAGTTTGACACAATGTCGATTCATTCTCAACCCTTTCTTGTATATGCAACAGATAAGCAGGTTTAAGCTCTGAATAGGTATCCAGGTATGGAGCTATGGTGTAGATATGGTTTACAAAGAATTCTAAAACTACATCACTATGTCAGAAGAAAACTTTAGAGATCTTTAACTTAAAATCTTTTCAAATTTTATTCAGATTTTTTTTTCCTAAAATGTGAAGAAAAATTACGAACTTTTTAATATTCCTAATCTACATCTATAAACGTAAAATCGGCATAATCGATCAGGCCCAAATTTTTATTGTAACTGACGTTTATGAAACGTTTAAAATTTTTTGGCCCAGAAAAAATGTCGACATTTATCATTTTGGAAGATGTGCAAAAGGAAACAGAAAAATCCTCGAAAATTTGGGAACGATTCAAAATGGCCAACAGTTGATAAAAGCAAACTTTCACATAATACAGTTTTAAAATTTTTGAAGTTTTATAACTTTTTTTTATAAAAACGATCCAAAACGATCCAAAACGATTAACAACATTACAGGCTGAGATCTGATATTTTATAAAATTAAAGAGAAAGAAAAATTTTAAATTTCAGAATCTGAATAATGGTTACAACAGTTCTGTCCGTTAGAAGATTTTATCAAAAATATAACGAGCCAATAAATTTCAGTTTAGCATATGTACAGGGTAGGGTGTCCCACGAAACATGACAGTAGCAAGACGATGTGAAAGTTGTCATAGAACTTTGAATTTATTTGTCACATTTAGTCGTCAACTTATACTTTCACATGTATGATACTTGAAACAATAACCAATTTTATAAAATAAAACCAATATTGTCGAAATCTTAACGAAATTTTTCATATCTCCGTTAATATTGAAAGCACAAAAAAGACACACCACATTTAGGAAATGTCTAAAATAGAGGTATTTTGTGATTATCAACTTATTTACTTCACAAATTTGATTCACGAATAAATGCAGCAAACTATTTCAAAGTTCAAACACGACCTTCAATTCGTGTTTCTACTGTCATGTTTCGTGGGACACCCTGTATATGCTTGATAAAACAGCCTAGTTGGAGGGAATTAAATAAATAAATAGAATAACCCANACATTCAGTATCACACAGTTTTATCACCAAGTTTATAGCTACTGGACAAGAGACAAGGGAGCTAATTTTTTTACACAACCAAATACAGAGTTCATTATGCAGAGATTGGCGATATATAAATCAAAAACATTCTACTTAGAGTTCTTGATTGAAATAAGCAAGACAAGAACAACATGGACTGCGCAGACTAAAGCTTCATCAAAAAAGGCAGTCTATGTTGTCTATGGTGAGGCCCGGCAAGAGTAAAATTATTCTATTCGGGTTTTCATCCTTATCTGCACAGTTGAAATTTGCATTGAATAAAATTAGCATCTGTGCAAAGATTGATGCAAGCTCTTTCAGAAGAAGATTCGTCCAATAAATTGTTTTTATCTTAAAAGGTGTTTAATGACAACAGTAATTGATTCTAGGATTGCTCTAAGAGTTCTACCAAAAATGGTCCGAACCATATAATCTTAATTCTCCGGATTTAGATTTCATTTTGGGTTTGTGAAAAAATAAGAAGAAAAAAGCTTCTGTATATAGTAAATTGCAATAACTTCTTCGATTTGAAAAAAGAACTTTTAAGGTTTTTGGACACAAAACCTGTGAAGCATCAATATTTCAAAACTAAAACTGTATTCTGTAATAGCTTGCATTTATTAAACTATGCAAAATGTTTATGCTAAGAGGATATATAACCATATATCTTCTCTCAGGGTTAATATTTTGTATATTGCAAGGATTTTTTTAAATAAACAAATTGAAATTTGTAAAACTTCTCAAAATTTTGTAGAACCTTTTCAAAGTCTAATAACCTTAAAACTTTTTTGCCTATCACTAGATGTATACTGTTTATCTAGTTCTGTATTAATACCCTAAGTCGTCTTCATACTGATTTCAAATCCTATGATTAGTTTAATGAAAATATGCCAATAATTAAAATATTATTTTTTTTTCCCAAAATAAACCTGTGCTTTGGATTTTAAATCCAATTTTCAGTCTGATCCTGAGACTGTGTATAGTTCCAGAAAGTCCTACCTGTGTCCATTAGAGTATGTTCCATATTTACAAATATGACTGAGAACCTCAAACTGAGCTTGAACCTTCTCCAGGTATAGAATACACTGGAGGAAACTCAGGACTAGTCCCGTCTTCATCTACAAATAGATTTACATGATAGAGAGCTTCCATTTATTGAACCCTGGGACCGAATTTAATAATTCGAGCTAGGTATCGAATCAGGATTCAGGATTTTTTATGTCCTATAGATGATAACTATACTCCAGAACTAAGATAATTACTTGAATCGACGTTAGTAGTTCAGCGGCCTAGCTCAAATTCATTGAATTCGGTTCCTGGTAAATCAAAGCTTTATTATTCTTAAGTATGCTTCGATAAAAACTTATATATGATGGTATGGTTTTAATGCATTTCGTCATTTTAAAATTCACAGCTCTGGCTGTAAGAGAAATTAAAGATCTAATAAGACTGATTATATTATGATATTTTATTTTTTAATTTAGTTATTTTTTGAGATCATATACACTTTATAGAAAACAAATATATGGGTTGAGTCAAAAATATTAACTGAAATATTTTATAACCCCAAACACGGAAAATATACGCACTGAACTGAAATAAAGATTTAGAACGTTTTTTATTCCACTTAACTTTGGAGACCACTGTATGTGACATTATTCAAAACCATTCTCATCCAATTATTAACTTAAATACAGTAAAAGAAAATCAATTTTTTAAAGTTAATTTTTCTCCCTGTAATTCAGCACTTTTTAGAAATGAAAAACATTCTTTTCGTCGATCCTTAAACCATTTAAACAAGATGAATAGAATATATGCAATTTGCATGACAAGCAGAATATACAATGAAAACCTGAATATATTTTTTAATTAGTTTTATTTAAATGCATATTTGATTTTAAACTGTTGAATACTGTGTACAATGTACATGGGAAAATGCACCAAGTATTAATTGTATTAAGCACACAAGAAGGCCTGTGTATATAGCGTGTGTACTGTGTATAGGCTTTAAGGCAATCTGGCCTGGTTAATTCATATTGTTCAAGCACAATATACTTCCTTCCTTCCTTCATATATATATATATATATTTAATATTCAGATCAATGAATATTGAGAAATATTAAATATCAATTACGTACCGGTACACCCCCCATCCCGTTCCCCCTACTCCCCCCTTCCAGGTAGGGGGTGGGGGGATTTTTTTATATATATATAATTTTATGCAAAAAATAAACCCTTAATATTTTTTCAATATAAAATTATTAATTGACATTTGATCAAAAGTTCTTATGAATATAATTGGGAGAGTGAAAATCTTTTAGGTTGTACACAAAAATACCCCCCCCCCCTCTAGCATATAACTACACTTAACTTCTTGATTTTCTTTTGACAGATTTTTTATCTTGAATTTTTAAATTGAGAAATTATTAACTTTAACGTTAAATGAAAAGGGTTTACAATATAAATTACTTTAATGAATTATATTAAGTAGGTAATTATCTAATTCTTGACAAACAATAATTACTTACAATTATATTTGCGACTCCAAGCTGTGCAGGAACTCAGGGGATGGATTCATTTACTCCAGATACTACTTTGACCTAGGACTCTTTTGACTCCGGGTCACCTTTATCCCTTTTGCGTCTTAATCTGAAAAATATTTAAACCTATAAAAAGAATTGAATCCTACCACGAATACTGGTTTTCGAACCCCTATATCGTTGCAACCATGTCGTGGACCATAATGATTTAAGTTTAAATTATCAAAGGTTTACACCTTCAGAGTGCAAAGATAGGGATTAGAACATTTTAGTTTGTGGCAAAAACTTAACTCCTTGATTAATCATGACGTCAAGTTTAAAATTGCAAAAACATATTTTTTTTTAAATTTCTAATTCTTAGGATCTTGTCCCTTCAAAAAAGAATTCGAATATCAGTTCATCTACCCTTTAACCTTTGAACCATTTCAACACAATGTTAAAAAATATTAAGTAATTCATAATAAGATCCGAAGTTAGTTCTAAAATGTATTATCAATGGAGGAAAACGCATAAAAAGTTTCTTCCTCTTAAATGTCGCATTTAATTTCATGCAAAATAATTAATATATATTCGAGATATTAATAATTTTTAACGTGTTTTTCTAATCAATAAAACATTATTAAACATTAGAAAGAGCTAAAAATGATGAACTGACGCATGACACCGGATTTCGGATTTGTCCTTCTGCATAAACGGATCCAAAACCAGACCTGTTGACCTTCTCAAGAATTATTTCATCTCTGTACTGTGTTCAACTGTAGATAAGGAAAAGCGTCCATATTTTCCTTATTATGGGATATGAGCCGGAAACAAAATGTTAAAAAATTTCCGGATATTTGGGACAATTTTAATTACATAAAAAATATACTCTGAGATAATCTGCAGATAGTGTCCAGAACATGACAGAATATGTAACCACGCAGAGACACACGGAAGTAGACTTATAATTAAGTTAGATTTAATCACCGTTGTAAATTCGAAACTAGTGAACACACGCTCCTTTAGTACCTGATTTTTAGGATTAAAAACCAGGGGCGTAAAAAGTGAAATTATGAAAGGGGTAGGGGTGGTGATTTTTTAAAGAAAAACAATAAAAAAGAAAATTTGTTACAGTTGAACTTTACTACTTTAACTTTTTCAAATATTCCAGAATATTTCAAGTGGTTTTGGAGATTTCATACAGTTTCCCTTAAAGGGACTGTAAGCATAATTTTAAGTGACCTTCCATTTAAAGATTCACATTCACAGGATGGCAACACCCGATTCACAACGGTACCCTTTAAAGTTTAGTCTGATCAAGTATAAAATATATATAAAGTATTTGAGAAGAAGAAAAGTATAAAATATATATGCATGATTTTGAGTCTTTAAACTTTTTTTTGCGGTTCCTCTTCGAAAGTTACTTGCGCATTTCTTGCTTATTGGAAGTAATGGAGAAATTATAAAACTTAATAACTTTTTGAGTTATATATTTTTAATCAGATTAAGGTTTCTAGGGTACTAATGTAAATCGGGCATTATTATCTTTGCATGGAGGGTTACTTGAAATAACGCTTACAGTCCCTTTCAGGGAAATCGTTGAATCCCCCCCCCCCCCCAGATTTGAAGACCCCTGAAAAAAACCTCAGTCTATCCATTAATACTTTAAACTTGAATAAGCATATAATCCCGGTATTGAACAACACAATATGGACAATAAATAAGATGAAAACTCCGCCATTATGAAGTAATTGTTAATATTTGTAGTAGTCCAGACCATACTCAAATATTCTTACTTAAATATTTTTCTCATCAAAGAATATCTATCGATTCTTTACAATATTTCCGGATACTCTTTTGTACTTCTTTTAAATAATTGCTGATCATAAAATCTAAAATTAATGTTAAAAGAAAACCAAATTATGAAATGGGCTGGTTTCATAATTGACCAATGATCATTTCAATTTACAAACGATAATTTTCCGTTATAACTATAAATCAAATGATGTTTTTTATCCACCTAATTCATTATAAAGTTTATTTAACAGCTTTAAAAAATTCGAAATTGAAATGAATAGTCTAGGGAACATACTGTATTAATGTACTCTACTGCATATAATTTGTGAACATTTACATGATTTGTACACTTTGAACTCCCATTCAGGCTGAAAGGGACATAAAAAAATCATACCAAGAGATTCTCTAAATTCCCCTCTAATATATATTATATTCTCTATGGTTGGGACCCCCTATGTGCTGTTGGCTGCAATTTCCTGAGAATTGCTTAAAGAATGTGCAAGCATAAGATGACTTTATGTAGAACTGGTAACACATGTAATAGAAACTTAACAATATAGGATTATTTTGTATACACTTTAGTTCTATTCAACAATAACAAATTGACAGAAAATTATCGTTGACCGTTTAAGAAAATAGTATTCATCAATTTAGTTTCCATGTTTTGTAATCTGAACTGGCAACTTAGAAATTTATTACACTAATCTAAATTGTTAACATTTGGGCCGTGTTTTTTTTCGGAAAACTACTCGTGTATTTCTTCTTTAAACACTAAAAATACAGAAATTCGTCTCATGTCAAATTAACACGGTGAGTTTGACGCTGATTTTTTTAGAAAAAAATAAAATGCTGTTTTGAATGTTATGAAAAATTTCGAAAATACTTTATATCTTAATTAGATGCACGCAGTGCAATAGAGTGGGAGTACATTATTCTAAAAGCAAAATGCAACCGATGCATAAAAAGGAAACTTGTTTTTGAAAATGTTAAGAATGAATTCTTGCTGATATTCAAACTATGGAAGTTCACAGCTTTCTAATTTTGTTTGTTGTATCAAGCAAAAAAAATCAAAAAAAATTTCTTCTGTAAAATAGCCTAGATTTGAGAAATTTTCAAATTTTCAAAATCCTTATAACTTTGCATCTTTAAGCCTTTAATATTTCGACTCTAGACTTTTTGATCTAATAGAATTCATAAAAACGCAAGGCTTTGATGGCGTGCGGCTTTTTAGTAATCATTTCGGCGGATTGCTATCACTATAACATTGCTTTTGTCTTGGAATGCAAAACGGAAATCAAAATATGGATATTTTCATTGTCAACTAATCCAATAGGATGGTCAATTTATCCAATAGGATTGTCAATTTATCTAATAGGATTGTCAATTTATCTAAAAGGATTGTCAATTTATCCAATAGGATTGTCAATTTATCCAATAGTATTGTCAATTTATCCAGTAGGATTTACAATTTATCTAATAGGATGGTCAATTTATCTAATAGGATGGTCAATTTATCCAATAGTATTGTCAATTTATCCAATAGGACGGTCAATTTATCCAATAGGATTGCCAATTTATCCAATAGGATTTTCAATTTATCTAATAGGATGGTCAATTTATCCAATAGTATTGTCAATTTATCCAATAGGATGGTCATTTTATCCAATAGGATTGACAATTTATCCAATAGTATTGTCAATTTATCCAGTAGAATTGTCAATTTATCTAATAGGATTGTCAATTTATCCAATAGGATGCCAGGATGGTAAATTGAAAGAATGAAAAAACAGGGGAAGGATTGGTAGAAGTCAAAATTTTTAAAGAGTATCACTTAAAATTACGATGATAATTCTGTAAATCTTAAAGTTGTTTAAAACCACAGATTGCGCGCAATTTAAAGCGCGCGCGTAGATGTAAGATGACAGGACGGCTGTCTGAATATAACTGAGGAGAAGGGGGCGGGGCAAGGTAGAAGGGGGCGGGGCAAAGTAGAATATATATCTTCAACCTTGAACAACTACAATATATAAAACTGAAATTACACCGGGGTTCTGACCAACACCTCGATATAGAGCATTTACTCCGGATACATTAGATAATACAGCACTATACAAACAGTACTATAGTTCATACATACAGTACTATAGTATATACATACAGTACTATAGTTTATACATACAGTACTATAGTTCATACATACAGTGCTATAGTTTATACATACAGTGCTATAGTTTATACATACAGTACTATAGTTTATACATACAGTGCTATAGTTTATACATACAGTACTGTAGTTCATACATACAGTACTATAGTTTATACATACAGTGCTATAGTATATACATACAGTACTATAGTTCATACATACATTACTATAGTTCATACGTACATTACTATAGTTCATACGCACACTACTATAGTTCATACATACACTACTATAGTTCATACATACATTACTTTAGTTCATACGTACATTACTATAGTTCATGCATACATTACTATAGGTTCATACATACAGTACTATAGTTCATACGTTCACAACTATAGTTCATACATACAGTACTATAGATCATGCATACACTACTATAGTTCATATTTACAGTACTATAGTTCATACATACAGTACTTTAGTTCATACATACAGTACTATAGTATATACATACAGTACTATAGTTCATACATACATTACTTTAGTTCATACATACAATACTTTAGTTCATACATACAGTACTATAGTTCATACATACACTACTGTAGTATATACATATAGTACTATAGTTCATACATACAGTACTATAGTTCATACATACAGTACTATAGTTCATACATACAGTACTTTAGTTCATACATACAGTACTTTAGT